GTGAAATTCGGTGAAATCTCTTCTCAAGGAAGAGGGCGCTGAAAAAAGTGCGTTTACGTCCTACGCAAGGGCACAGGATTACTGCAAATACAGAGAATATTGATAACTATTCCCTCTGGGGAGAGGCAGAACTGCTTTACATGGCACAGAGTGTGTAGCCCCTCTGCACTGGTGTGAAACCTTACGTAAGGAGAAAACCACACTCCCTACTCTGTAGGCTTTAAGTGCCTTCTCACCTGGAATGATAAGCTGTTTTTTTAGGGGGGGGGGGAGGTTTCTACTTTGCCCCTGGGTTTTTTACCTCTACGGGAAATTATATGTTTTATAGTAGTGACTAATACAGTACGTTCACAAGCATGAAAAAAATATATTTTCTTTTGTTTATTGTTTGTTTTCAGAAAAGAAAAATCCCTGCCTTAATGGAAACCTCAGAAAACATCAATTTTTTTAGTTGTGCAATAACGCCATACCACTTCTACTGTATATATAGGTGTTATATAACGGAGAGTATTGAATTTTGAAACACTATATTATTTCCCTACAGGACCACCTACAGCAATTTCCCAACAGGATCAATAAAGTCTTATCTATCTATCTATTATTAGTGTATTCTCAATGGTAGAGAAAGCTGAATTAAGGTTAGGCATTTTATATAATGGCTTTTTAAAATTAATTATGAGAGTCTTCTCCTTGTTTAGTGAACCAGTTAAGGGGGTAATTCCACACTTTGGATTTAACTTTATTCGCTATGAAAACTTTACTATGTCATATACTGTGTACGTGTAACATGACAGCAATCAAACACTTCTTATTTATAAAAGTTATCATTTAAAAATATACTAGTAGAACCATTTGTTTTTTAAATCTTATGGTACTGGAAGAATTATGATTGAGTGATCGTGTTGAATATTGTTTTGTATTATGGTATTGTACTATTGTATTATTGTTGGATATGTTATATGTTCATAAGCTCTGAAGCTCTTTACAAGACAAATTCCCTCAGGGGAAATAAAGGTTAATTCAATTTAATTCAACAGTCTACCCAGCGATATCCTGGCTTCTTTTAAGAAATGCCTGGATCAGACCTAATTTTCTAAAAGATCTCATTTTAAAATCAAACAAACAAGATGTGAAAAACAGCAACCTCTTATTTAAAATAACTCTCATAGAGATTTCCAAACAGAATAAAACAGAAATACAAATCTTAGAATGACACATAATTAATTGAACCTGATAAACAATCCACAAGCTATGTATAAGAATAGCAACACAGACCTTCATTAAGGTCAAGATTACTAGACAAGATAAGAAATTATTGTGCACTTTCTACTCCTAATCTGTTTAATGAGTAATAAGACATCAAGATCAGAAACTACAATATCACCAAAAAATAAAGTTGAGAAATATGGAAAATGACTAAAAGTGTGACAGGTAAGGAGGATAAGTTCATTGTCTAGAAACTGAAAAACAGCGTACACCAAAAACTATATTCCCACTCACTTTAAAGGTTGAGTATTATTATTATATTTTTCCTTCCAATTTTTCTTTTTTCCGAAAACAAAAACCTCTCAGTGACGCCACAGAGCTGCCGTGCTGCAATTAACAATTTGTTTGTGATGTCTGCCCCCACTATACGTTATTAACGACAAAAACAGGAACTGATGGAGACAATTTTAGGTTATGGTGTCACACACGTAATTATCTGGAAAACACTCTCATTTGACAAATTTATTGAAATATGTTTATTTAGGGCCTTTTTTTCAAGGAAATGTAGGAAAATCTTTTTAGTTTAAAACAGAGAAGACTATGAGAATTCAAAATCCTCAAAGGCACTGACAGAGTCAACCCCATGGACTGAATGGACAGTGAGACATGACGTAGAGGACACACATGGAGCTGCAATTACAACTGAGAACAGGAAGCACCTCTTTACATGAAGGGTTGTGGGAGTCTGGAACAGGCTACCCAGACATGTTGTTAAAGAAACAGCTGGATGAGATCCTAGGACCAATTAGCTACTTATTACCAAATAGGCTACATAGCCTGACTAGCCTCCTCTTGTTTGTGTCTGATCTTATGATCTTAAGATCTATACAATATATACAACTGAAATCTGCCCTTGTAATGGCATGAGCTTATCTAAAAACAATAGCCTGTCTTTCTGACCATGTTACAGTAAATCTCTCTTCTGCCAGGACATGCATGATGCTCTGTAAATTCACTAACTAAATTAATGAAGAACATCCATCTTCTGGCATTTTCCTTACTTTATTCTGATTTTTTGTCTCTCCTTTAAGCGTTTTGAGAGATTCCCACTCTCTTATCAATCTTTTATGATCTTAGGGGTGGAGTGGTGCTCTGTGGCTGTGGCTAAGGATCTGCTCCTGTGGCTGGAAGGTTGCGGGATCAAATCCCATGGCCGGCAGAGGAATCCTACTCCGTTGGTCCCCTGAGCAAGGACCTTAACCCCAGCTGCTCCAGGGGTGCTGTATATATGGCTGCCCCTGTGCTCTGACCCCAAGCTTCTCTCTCCCTGCCTGTGTGTCTCATGGAGAACAAGCTGGGGTATATGAAAAGACAAATTCCTACTGCAAGAAATTGTATATGGCTAAGAAAGTGATCTTATCTCTTGTCTTGAGGGGAGGAGTTTCACTGATAACACCATGCTCATAGAGGCTCAGCAAGAGACAGTCATTGCTTCAGCCCAAGCCAAGAGAACACTAGTCATCAATGAGTCTTGACTTCACCTCACACTCTAGTGAATCAAGAAGGGGTGAAGTGTGTCCCCTCCTGTATGTCAAGAGCTACATAAGGGATGAGATATGAGATATACCGTGTGGAGCTTTTTAATGTTTAATATATGAACAAAGAGAGAGAGAGTCGGAAGTGCTGAAGCTCCTGTTCTGGGGTGATTTTAGTAAATAATTATAGTTTATTTGTCTTTGTTATTAAAAATAATATAAGTTACATAACTCAACCCTTATTGTTGCATACCAATGTTAAAGCTGGTTTGAGTTTGATCTGGTGTTTTGTGTTGTTTTTACTTAAAGAGCTGTAGCGCAGCATTATGGAAAAGCGATTATGACTGTAACGTGTTGCAGCTGTACCATTGATCAAAGTACCATGCTTCATTCTGACTGCCGTTGTCAAATGTGTTGCTGTGTAAATACTGTAAGTACCGATCTTTACGTAAAGCCTATATCCGAGCCCCACTTGTACAGAGCTCGTGCTGGTTTACGAGGCCTTAACACGACGAGAGAGCACGTGACTCCACCTCCCAGACAGGACACCGGATAAAACCGTTATCATACAGTCCGAATATCTGTGCTTTCCTGAGCTGTGCTGTTTTCCCTACCCGCTTAGGCTGTATCCAGTTGGGATGTGAGCTAGCGACATTTCTTTGGCATTGGTGATCGATAGAGGAATGATGTAAGGTTCAATCCCTAATTTCTTGCGCATATTGCTCATATATGTGGATATATCCCAGTGAGTCGCAGCTCTCAACAGAGGCTCTCTGCCAAAATAACGTCTACCTTTATTTTCGAATTGCCTTCTCTGCGCTGATCACCACATTGAAATTTATACACAGGAATCAGTAAAAATTAACCAATTTTCTTGAACAGTCTGTGTTTGACTTACGCCTTCATGACCATCATTTGCCAGTCTTTCCACTGAACCAGAGTTCAAGTTTAAAGTCGCACATTATTTCTCCGTTCTTAAAATCTGAACGTTGCAATTTCACAATCCTTGTCAGTAAAGTGTCGTTGTGGTATCTAACGTTAACAGGTTTCCTGTCTATGATTTATTTTTAGCAAAGCCAATGCAGTTCGACCCACTTTTTGGTAATAGATCTTTACATTTTATTCTTCATCACTGTAAGTTTGGAAGGCACTAATTATAGGACTGTAACTCTTACTTATCTGCTGTTCTGTAGCTCAAATTAAATATGTTCATTACTGTCTGCACATCAGACTGTCCCCAGTCTCTGCTTAAGCCTGGATTTAAATTTGCTTTCGCTAGAGGATGGAGTATAGCATTTTCATTTAACAAAGCTGTTTTTATTCACAGAATTAATATGACAATTGTAACCTATGTATCACATCTATTTAGGGAAAACAGTTCAGGTGAAGAACTTGCTTATAAAATGTAAAAAAATTAGCTGCATTTCATAATGTCTATGCTGCATGATCGCTTCACAAAAATGGAAGCTTTTTTAAATTCTGGAAAGAAATGGGAAACAATACTGCACAGATACAGGAAAGGGGCTCGAAGATTCTTACATTTCAAACAACGTCGCTATTCCTGTCTGACCTGAACAGCTTCAGATTTTTAATAGTTGTATCTCTGAGAGACAACAGCTCCAGAGTATACCAGTGATACAAAAGTGATGCTACAGAAAGGTTCTTGAGCGCGGAAGAGTTTCCATGATTTATAACTGTCTCTTCCTAAAAGCATACTTAAATCATCACATGTGTCAATGTCTCTTTACGGTCAGCCTAAAGAAGAAAGATGTTTCAGGTTTAGAAATATTAAAGCTTGTAAAAGACCGTCATTGGATTCCAAGTGTCGGGAAGAGTCATTCTCCCTTATTTGATCTTACGCAGAGCTTAATATTTAAATTTTTCACCCAGAAACATCTACATCATAAAGCAAAGATAGCTGAAACGCAATTTGTGTTGACATTGTCTTTGTCTGAAAGCTTGAATTGTTAAGGTGTCAGAGCAACAGCTTGTTGATGCCTTTGAATTTCATTGTTAATTTTCCCCAAACTGTCATGTCACGGTGGAAACAAATAGTATTTTATGCAGCGTCAAGGAACAGATACCACCATACAAATTAATTCAAATATACCTGTGAAGATGTACATTTGAAACAATCCCTAACAATCTTTAAAGTTTAAGGCCTAGCCGTGGTGTAATTACCCAGTACTGATGTGGTACTGTGTTCCCATCCTCAGTGGTAATGACACCTCTCAGTACGCCAGTGACCGGGTTACTTACCCTGGACCTGTGAGCTCACACTGAGCAGTAAGAGCAGCTCCAGGATCAGCCTTCTCTGTGGGGGGAACATTGCTGGTGCCTCCAGTGGGGCTCCTCCATGAACAGTAACTGCTGCTGTGAGGAGAGAGACGTGCGCTCAGTTAGACAGGTCTGGGGACTTTTTTTCTCATGTGCCGAAACACCACAGAATAGTTTGCAAACTAGAAAGTGTCTTGTCTGCACATGTGTGTGTCAGTTTACTCCCCTCGCTGAAATGCTTGTGGTTTTACATCCTTTGCACAGACTCCTCCTTTCATGAAAAATTTTGCCTACCTGTAAATAAGAAATTCTCTGTTTTCTTGGTCCTATTCCTGTCAAGCAAACACAGTGTAGATTATTATCAAAATCACTGTATACAGATTATATTGTAGATAAAAAGTAGATATATATTTGTAGATAAAATCATTTTGTGCTTACAGCCATACATTGCTGAATTAGGCATTTCAGACAGTCTTTGTAAGCACTCTCAGTTCTCATTGCACATACAATTTTTCTTTCGCATTTGTTGGGGTTGGTTCCTGGAAGCGCTAATCATGACTTCAGGTCAGAAGTTGCCTTTCCTTTTCCTTTGAATGCTTAAGACATTGTGGACTTTGGCAATAGTCATGAGGAACCACAAAAAAAACTAAAAATGAGAATAACATAAAAAAGTGAAATGTCTGATTTTACCTGGTTTGGTCCTGCTGTTGTCTGCAAGACGATATCCTAGCTCGTGACCCCAGTGTTTTATAACTCTTATTTCCTCTCATTATCGCATCTCCTTGGGGACAAGTGAAATAGAGGGTGAACATTTTGACTAAAGCTGATGAGATAACATCTTCACATGACCAGGAGCTTCAGCCATGAGGAAAAACAAAACTTTGCGGAAAGTGCTTTTTTGCTTACTGTACGTACTGTATGAACAAGCAAAGCAAAGTCGGGTAGCCATTGAGGGGTTGTGAAACAGTCGTGTCACAAAAGCTAGTACAAACTTCGTCCGGCAAAAACAGGAATGGTGACATTTGAAAAATGTTATTTGTAATGCTTAAATATCTAAACCTTCAAAGCAGTTTTAAGATTTTATTTTCATTTGTACTGTGGCATATTATAAGAGCTGTGAACTCGGTTACCAGATGAGCGATGAGTTTCAGGTGCGGACAGTGCTGTTGTCACAGTACTCTACTTTATTTACTCCAGCCCAGACATACTGTACATATCTATGTAAATGGTAACTAGTGTTCTAGCGTTGCTGGAAGATAGACAAGCAGGAGACTGGTAAAACAGGGCTTAGTGTTACAGAAGTGAAGGCTCCTCCTTGAAAGTATAGAGTTCTGGCACGCAAGACACCTGGTCTTACGGGACTGTGGAGATGTTATACTGTATCTGTGTTAGCCACTATTCTGAGCCAGGGCAGAGCAGAGTTGCAATTTATTTTCACACTAGCGAACCATTAAGGACAATCTCTCCAAACTCTCCATAGGAACTTAAGAAAGGTAACACATGAAAGGAGTCCATTCAGCACATTTAGCCTGACAAAAGCCTGAGTAAGCTGGCCTTTAGAATTGTGAAGGGCTTTTAAATTCTCCCACACTGGGTGAAGAATTGAAAGTAAAAGAATTTCTGGTTGAACTACCTCTTACTGTATGAAGTCTTACAGTCAAAAGTTAGTCTTACAGTTAAACTGTGCAAAATCAAAAACCTATTCTGTGATATATTTAATTTTTTAAAATATAGCTACCTTATACACAATAAGTAAGTGGAGTATTTAACATATCTCATCTATAAATGGTTACCATTCTTTTGTGATTCATGCATTGGCTTTCTATATGCCAAGGAGCACTCCTTCACTGAAGAACGATGAAACTAGCAAGTCTGGAGCAGATCTTCAGCACACATAAGAACCTGTCCTTAGAATAAAATAAGCTGATAATTTCAGCTGAGAGCTGAAAGTTCCATGGGATCCAGGTCTCACCATTGTCCCAAATCCTCATGAAGTTATCTTCAAATTACCTCAAGTTAACACTTTGATAAAACTACTTAAGCGGCCCTGTTTTTAAAGGAAATAAAAGACTTTTATTTTCCAGATATCCTGTCGTATTAACTTGCGGGCTCTGACTTCAGTACTACCTGAGATCTAAGCAGTTTGGCCTCTTTATGCCCAACTCTAGGAGTTCAAATGTGAACACATATTTTTTTATTTAGCATCGTGACATGTGGACCTGCAATAGTGACATACATTTTCCATCCTGCAGGATGATCCCTCCACTGGGGCCCTCTTTTCTGTCCACCCCATCATCTCATTTCGTCGACAACCTAATCCAAAAACCTAATAACCTTCTTGTTCACAGCTCCCTTGACCACCCTCAGCAATCATCCAACCCATGCACTTTCCCTTGCAATAGAGCTCGCTGTACCTGCAAGTACACATCTAACACCACACTCTTTCAAGGCCCCTCAGGACAATTCCCGATCACTCAGATGGCAGCATGTACCCCCAGCAACCTATTCAAGACCACTTCAGAGAACATGTTAAGGCTGTGAAGATTAAAGATTTTCCCAAGCCTATTGTTTCTCATTTCACCTCAGACGGCCATGATCACACTAATTTCTCCATCTGTGTTCTCAAAGATGGTTTTCCTAACTCCCACATCAGAAAGACTACAGAAACTAAAATTATCCTGCAGCTAGGATCACACTTTTCCCCTTCTCTCAACGACAGACTACTTTTCTTCTAAATTCTCTCTATTCATTGTTGGTTTCATTTCACACCTCTCCTCACCTCACCTATCCTGACTTCCCACCTCCTGATTGTCCTCTCTTTCTGTCCCCAGCTCCTCCCCCTCGCTCCTCCTCTCTCCCAGCTTTTGTTCTCCTGCTACATTACCTTTGTTTACTGCCCTGTCTTTCTCACACCTGAAGAAGGCTCCATGGCCAAAATGCTGTGTTTTCTTTCTTCTCTTTTGAGCATGGAATAAACCTATTACTTGTTCCTTTATAGTGACATATAGTATATTAACAAAAGACAATTTTTCAAAACTGCAGATCAGCAAGCCAAGAAGGCTCAAGCTTTTTGTTTTCTTGTAATTATTTATGTCTTTCTATTTGATGTAGAATACTATCTGATGTTAAAGTGAGTTCTAACCCTCAGCATGTCGACTCTATACAGACCCAAGTCAGGCTCTGCTTCTAAGCTCAGCTGTTCAGATTGCACACACAAATCCTAAAATCCTCCCTCCCAGTAATGTGAAAACCGCCCTCTGTCCTGCCTGCCCTTCATGGCTAATCAAATCTCTCACAATTCCAATTTGCAGTGAAACTGTACATGTTTGTTATTCAGGGGTCCTATTTTGCTATGAGTCACATCAGTTTTTACAATTGCAACATCTATTATTGTTTGTTTTAATGTATAGTGCTAAAGATGCTACTGATGCTTTAATGATGCTAATTTTGTTACAACAATCTACCCATATTCTTCTTCACTTTTGTTGTGAAGAAGACGGAAAGTCTGTGTCTCACGCATGCAACACTGATGCTTGCTTGTGTCTTGTTTCCACCAGCCTACTTTAAGAGAGGGGCACAGTAGGGGAAACACCCCTGTCTATCCATACTGTATATACTGCTGGTGTGTGACACCCTGCCTGCATCCATTTAGCCAAAGCACTGAAAGGAGTAAACTACAACCCCCTAACATGGCTGTTCACCTTGTTTGAAAATACAGTTATTTCCTCTTTTTCTCTACACATTGAACAAAAAAAAAAAGAAGTGAACAGTAATTATCGTAGCCCATTTGAAATCTTGGGGTGAAAAATAGTTCTTTGTGATACCAGCATATGAAGGGAAACATAATCAAAGAAAAAATAGTTTTTTTTTCAGAATAGTTGTGGTCTGTATGTTGCAAAACCTTGCTAACCCCAGTGCTGTGAGAGTGCAGCTTTGAAAAGCTAGACTCTTTTTCTGTCACCCCCTGCCACACAGCTACGGCCTGGCCACACGCACTCTTACAGTTCAGCACAGTACAAAGGCTCATACTGAACTGTGCACGCGTAACTATTAGCTGCGGAGAGGACCCATTACCCTGATGTCTTTGATATTTTGACACAGCCTGATTCAGTTCAGAGACTTTTCCTTAGCTGGTAGGATGTGTTAAGAGAAGGCTGGCCACATTATCTTGTCGTAGCGGTCAACGAACAATGAAGTCATCTCTGCCTAACCTGTTGTGTCACTTCCCATAGAACAGCACACTGCACTTTAGCTGTAAGCTTTGTTTGAATTCTATATTTAGCCTCTGGGTGGGCTGTCAAGGTTAATAATAGAATGGGGGCCACAGGCAGTGAACTTGAATGGGGAAATCTCTAAAACTAACCTAGGCGAGGGGACTTTCATCAGATGATTAATATTTGCCCTTCTAGTTACATAAAGGTTTTTAAAATATATATGTAATATTGTAATTTTGTTACAAGACAATTTGACTAAAAGAGTAATCAGCAGTCACACTTCACTAATCTGGGCTGCATTGCACACGCACACAAACACACACACATACGCATAAGCACGCGTAAATATATACATGTACACACAAAAATGTGCATACCAACACACACATAAACACAAAGATACATATATGTACAAACAGTGTGTGTACTACATGAATCGTTCGTGCTGTGTTGGTACCTTGAGCTGACTGGCAACACCAATTAAGAGGTACTGAAAAAGGGAACTGCAAGA